TAAAATCATAGTTTGGTTTCCATCCAAACACCCCTTAAGATTCCCACGCGTTCTACTGTTTTGCCCCGACCAGCCCGGCTACACCCTTTGTTCCTTCCTCTTCTTCCTTTTTAATTTTATTGGTGAAAACTTTTGACATTACTTTCTTTTCGCCTTCATGTTTCAGTGCAATGTAATATTTCATATTGAATTACAGTTGATTAGAGGTTTTGTTATTCACCAAAATTTTCTGTTCGATTAAGTTGACTTAATCACAATCAATATATTTATTGTAATTGATTGTATATTTATTTGGCAATTATTATTAAAGCTTATTCTCATTGTATAAATTCCTCATGTTTTCAATTAATCATGATTAGGTCAACTTAAATAGAACCATAAATTAGGCTACGTCGAATCAAATCATTTTTAATTCCATTAATACAATTGATAAGTGTATGAGTCGCATCTTTCTGGGATCAATTACACAATTTTTTTTTTTAAAAAAAAAAGCGTAAACAATTGTCTGTTTTTGAGTCAACGAGTTGGGTTCTTGTTTTCATTTTCGGCGCTGAAATTTTTTCCTTATTATTTTGCATCTATAAAAGTTTCCGAACAAATTCTCCGATTTTTTTTTTTGGATACTGCTGAGATAACACTCATTCAAACAAGTGAAACAAAATAGCAGTAAAAGCAATCTAATATTAATGAAACCAGAAGTTTATCTATGAATTTTTATTAGGATAAAGGTTTAACTTTAACTCGAATCTTATTTTTCATATGTAATTTTATTCACAATTTTTTTATTTGTATAATTTTAACTATAATCTAATTTCTCCGGTCTAATTTTACGTCTAATTTTTTGATACAATTTTATCCCTGACCCTGGGAAAAAAAGATCACGTAATTTTATATAAAAAAATAAGTATCTTTTTGTTTGCTTTTTTTTCTTAAAATCATCCATTAGTTTTTATTTTTAAAATGGAAAAAAATTAAAAATACCTATTTGACAATTTTCTGGTTTAACCATGAAAATTCACTGTAGTTTAGATAAATCTCACATATTAAAGAAATTTATATAAATACTTATGAATTATTTATGAATAAAATGTATACTTATTACTTCTCCGATCCTTAATATAAAACTCATTTAACTAATTTAGTTAGATTAAAGAAGTTAGGTAAATTAGTTAATTATAAGAAATGTGAAATGTTTTTTTTCTAAAACGTCATAATCATCTTTTTTAATATCTCCTCTCCCTCTTCTATTTGGTTATGGTTGAGGGAGTATCCATAGGAATAATTTAGAAAAACTTGATAAATATAATAAATGGGTCTTATATTTAAGACCAAAACTAATTCAACAATTGGGTTTTATATTAAGAACCGAAAGAGGACATTAGTCTTGATGTGACAAGTCAGTCGGCCCAAATGAAAAAAAAAATGATATGACAAATTAATTAGCCAAGAAATTAATGTCAAAATCAGACGTAACATAATTAGCAGGAAATGGTTGAGACGACTATAAATGCATGCGTTCACGCATAGAAATAGATGATTAAGAAATGCCACGCAAATGTAAATGAAATTTTCCAGATCAAAAGCTTCAATTACCTAACACCCCCTTCACGTGAATATGTTCACATAAAAGATATTTATAAAAAAAAACTTTGACTAAAAATGTGTAGTTCGAGGCACACAAATTGATGTAAAAAAGTTTCCGGGAAGATCAGAGTCACATAAGTAATAATTAAATATTCATCATCACGTACGCATATTCATATATTCTGCAACACTTTTTTCCACAAAATCCTTGAAGCACTAGCAAGGGCGCGCGCGCGCGCACACATATATATTTATATTTATATACAAGTTTTAAATTTGAGTAGATTTAGATTTTTCTTAATATATAATGCATTTTTTTTAATTTTTCTGTTAATTATATATTATCTTTTCTTTACCATATTTTTTCTTCTCACATTTCTTGGCACAATTTTTTATCATTTTATCATTTATTATAAGGATATATTTAAAAACAAAAATATATTTCTAATTCTAACATATTTATTAATTTTAACGAATTTTAACTAATACTTTTAAATGATTTTAAATGATTATTTATTATTCTTAAATCAGTTATATACAAAATAAGAGGAGTATACTCTTTCGAGGCAAATAAAAAAGGACATATTAACAACTAAAGGCAAAGAGAGGCAAACTAGGGGAGGCATTATGTGGTAGAGGCCCAGCCTGGTGACGTTAATTAGCACATCAGTTCCTGCACATTTTTAGACTTGTCTAAAGTCTAAACTATCCATTTAACTTACACTGTTAAGTTCAACTTTTTATTCGTTATTTTTTTCTAAAGTTTAAATAGTACAAATTAATTCAGGTCAAAAAAAGTAGGGCAAAGTAATTCCATTTAGATGTGGTAGAACTCAAATTAACACACAGGTGCCATTTAAAATGAGCTAGAAATACAAGATTCTTATACCGTACATTAGTAATCCTCTAAAATACTTCTTCTATAATTTGATAACTAATTTACAGAAATTTAAAAAATTAGTTAATTTAATTATTTATAACAAGTATTTGCTAGTTTCTCTTAAATATATCTAATTATGACTTCTTTTTTTATGAAAATCTCTTTAATATATATATAATAAATAGGGATGATTAAAGGGATAAAAAAATTATGACGAAGTATATTGAGAATTTGAGGTCTTTGCTTGTTGATGATTGAAGTACATAGTGTAATATAAATTCTCTGAAGCATTTGAGAGATATAAAGTTTAAAAGAGGGAAACAAAATAATGGATTCTACCTTTATACATGTCAGGCTCACATTTGTGGGACTCACTTTTAGCTCCCTAAGCTACTAAGTCACGACGTACTCTTTTACTTTTTTTGGTGATAAATTGACGACGTACCCTTTCTGTGTCACAAAGCTGCATGACCTGGTTTTGAAATTAGTATGGCCAGAATGGGGTGTTATGTGGGGGAGGTTATAACCTTTCTTGGGGACATAAATGTACATATAAATTATTCGCAGGAATGAAAAGGATATGGTGTGAGTGAGGTAGTTCCAAACTTGGAGGAATTTTTGGCATTTTCCATTAAGTTCACGTCGTTTTGTGTAGCCCATTCATTCCTCACATCCCATCCTCAGTCAAATAATTCAATATTATCTCTTACCCTAAATATAAGAGGTAGTTGACTAATTTGAGAAGATTAAGAAAATAAGTTAAGTTAGTTATTTATAATAAATAAATATTGTATTTTCTAAAATATCCTTACTAATTAAATGTATTAGCTAGAACTACTATTATTAGAAGGACTACCTTAGAAAAAATGCATAAACATGAGAGATAAAGTGGATTGGGATCTTATATTCAAAACCAAAATAAAATTTAAATGAAGTCTTATATTAAAGACCGGAGATAGTATTGTTTTATTACCATAACGGCTCTGCTTCTGACGCCATTGCAACATTCAATCACGCCATTGTGATATTCAATCACCTTGATATAGAAAGGGAATTTAAAGTATCTTGTTCATATATTTATTAAAAAAAAAAATCACTTGGCATGAAACTTCAACCCAATACGTAACTCATAATTGAACAAATAATACGGGGATTGGTTTAATTTGGTGCTATGTGTATATATATGACATGCTATGAAAAGGCCAGGAAATTTCTTGCTTAATTATAGAGCAATATTATTGAACACCGTCATCTCTTTTTAAGTAAGAGCTGGCCCAACCTCATTTTTTTCATTACCTAATTTTAAAGAGTGAGCTTTGACCAATTCCTTTCTTAGTTTTCATATTGAAAACGAAGTTCAAATTACTTCATTAAATTCTCCTGGAATTAAGGCACCGTAAGAAGCTTAAAATGAATCTTTAATTGGGGTAGCCTTATCTTGTCTTAGGTGGCGCGTGGTTGGCAGTGGGAACGATAATATTAACAAATTTTTTTTAAAAAAATTGCGTTAAATATCTTTTCAAAGCTGTGTCGAGAATTGAAATATAAAATTGTAGTACAACATTTCTTTTAATTCGCCAAGTGGCCAGCAACAGTTTTTGGTGAACAAAAAATGAGAATAGGTTCCATGAAGGTGGGATTTCTTGATATTTTTATGTCTTTTTTTTTTTGTGGAGCAAAGTTTAATGGGTATTATTTAAATTACAAGTCAATAGCAACAAAATTATTTGGTTAAGGAAGGAAGCAAGCGTGCTTCACAAAGCAACCTCATTGGGCATATTACAAGTTGACATCTCAATTTGCAAATATAGAGTAAATTACATCACATTTGTATACTATATGACTCGTTTGCCATGACCTATAAACATCTTTTTAATTACGATTTATAAAATACTAGATAAGCATGTAAAATGAATTTATTTCGATTTACATAAAACGTATTTATAAGTGATTTCAAACGTGATTCTAAATAGTACCATTGTGTTTTGAGCCATACTTGCAGCGAAATATTGTCAACATTTTCGGTTCCTTTCAACAAAAGCAATCCAAGCAATAATATCCCTAACAACAGTTGAGCTCTTTTTTTCGTTTCTCTGCAATAATTATGGTTTTCTCTCATTGCATGAATTTTTTAAAAAATTATACTGCTTATAATTTGTGAAAAATACACATCGCTAAAGATTCCATATCTTGTATTAATATTAATATTCAGAACCACCAACTTACAAGGTAAGGACCGCGTAAGAACAAGTTGTGTCTGAATAACATATGAGGCGGTTCGCCATTTTTAAATAGATATATTAATATCTGATCAAGATTTGATATTGACATGCAAAAAAGGGTTAGCTTCACCATCTAAGGCTAAACTGAGACACAATAAGTGAAACTTGTATCATGCCCTAGGTTCTAACATAAATCATGGAGTTTTATGTAAACCTCAAATACAAAATTAAAAAAGATTGCTTTCAAATTAAATTATATGTCCAATTCGTTCGGCGTCTTCAAAGGCTGAGTGAATGATAAGATATTAAATTAATTTTTTTAATAAAAAATATAACATGTTACCACTTCTATATGGCTCTCAGTAATTCAGGCAGCTAAAACAACATCAGCTTACACGAAAAAAATAATAATAATAATAACGGCATTTTAAATGCCTAATCGGTTGGTTGGTTGCATTTCTGTTCATGTTTTCTAGTAAGAGATTTTCCTTCTTTCCAACCAAAGAATAATAATACAACTTCTGAAACACGAGGCCAACGTTATCTATGCCCATCAGCACTGATTCTGGTCTTGTTGACAAATTGATAGTAGTCTTCCTCCCCGTAGAGTCGCCTGAAACATCAGAAACTCACATTTTAAATATATGAAGACCTCCACACTCGGATCAATGCAAGATTCAAAACTTACACAGCAAACATTACCTAATGAAACACATCTTCCTAGTAATAGCTATAGAATTCTCAATAACAGGAAAGTTCATTTCTCAGAATATTAAATATATGTAACATTCTAGCAAAGTGACTGGAAAACTGACTTACGCTAGATCTGCCAGGGACTCTGATTTGATCACAGCCTTCCCCTCCGGAAGTTCAAGGCAGGAATAATGCATTATTATTTCCTTTAATGTATGCTTTGTGCTTTTAACATCATTATCCCATAAGATGCACTGAAAGTAAAAGCAGAAGGCAGTAGTATACAGTGCCGAAATAGACAGAATCTAATTCTAATGCCCTTCCCTATAAAACGAGAATAAGTAGGGCCGGAAAAAGAGAATCATTTAATGAAATGGAAACAACACAAAAGAGCAGGAAAATTAATCTTTCATGATGGTGGGCACTGCTCTGTCATCTCAAGCCACAAAGATCCAAAGTGAATTTTGCATTTAACTAATAATGTACTTCTCCAGTCTTAAATATAAGATAGTATAAGGGTCTTATATTTAGGACCAGAGGAATACAACAATTATACAACAAAGAATACCTTCCTAATATATTCTCTTTTCACTTCTTCACAAGAAACTTTGCCTTCAGGTGAAAATACCGAAGCATTCCAGAGTGCCCCTCTGGCAACCATCACAGACGATGCACCTTCAACCAGACCAGAATTACATTAAAAGAAAAGTAAAGTAAAAACTTAGCCAACGTAATATGATCAAAGAGAAGTACAAATGTGATGAGAATTTATACCACGAGATGCAATTATTATTATTATTATTTTAAAAAGGGTTGTAAAACACTAGAGAAATATACATCTACCGTCATGCTACTGCAAAATAGTGCCTGCAGCTGATCAAATCTTGTTCAGCTTAAGATTCTACGGTAACTGAATGCTTATCAAGCCTACCTTTCCTTAAAGGTTGACTAAGTCAGAACCAAAGGTTGAAAACCTAGTAGAAGCCATAACCCCATAACAGCCATAGTAACAGCCTAATAATAAGAGCATAGCAGCAGTGATTTTGGGTATCTATGCACTATATATATATATATATATATATATATATCGTGCTAATAAATAAGGAACAGAATGACTAAGGTCTCCACATATCCCTAGCAAAGTATCCCTTAAGATAGGAATCTACGAAAAGCTAAGAAACACCAAGCCATAACAGCCATAGTAACAACTTGATAATAAGAGTATAGCTGCAGAAGTTTTGGGTATCTATCACAGGTCACATGGCACTCTATATTTATTGTTTTTAATAGATAAGGAAACAGAATGACTAAGGTCTCCACATATCCCGTAGCAAAGTATCCCTTAAGATGGAAATCCACGAAAAGCTAAGAAAAACCAAACCCTTGGTAGAAATTACTTATCACCAATGATCAATAACCCTAAGGTAAATCCTTAAAAAAGATTGTAATGATAGGCGTAAGTTCTGAGGTATAATTACAATAACATGTTAACTAAGATAGCATGCTTAATACAAAATATATTGCATGCGTCATTGAGTTGCTTGTATAAAAACTCCAACAAGTAATCATTCAGTTTTCCCTTCTTGCTGCATCATATATTAGCCAAGGCATAATTTTATATCAGATATAAGATTAAGATACAATCCAACTCCCTGAGACCCTGACACATTTTATAGAATAAATTTCTATTAAAATTTAAGTTTGCCTTACTGTGCAGCATCCTACAACTCAAGCAAAACATAACTGAAAAATTCTTGAAAGGGAATTTTCATTTCAGCTACCTGTAGCAGATTTGATGCGTTTAAAATCATTGTACTCGAAGACATCTCCGTTTGCTATAACTGGAATAGATAGTGCTGATACAACATCAGCAATTTCATTCCACTTAGCAGGATCTCTAGGTCTATCTGGAACTTTTCTGCAAAATAAATTAAGAGAAATAAAAGGTATGATTTGATGTAATAAGGATACAGGAATTACTCTATTTTTAAAAATTCAATTATGCCATGCTATGGCCTCAACTGTGCTTGTGGTGAATGAATCAAGTTTTTTTCGTTAAAAAAATTATTCATCAAACCAGAGCTGCTGGTCTAGAGTCATCGAAGAATTGTTAGACTTCCAACTGAAACAGTCGGCAAGTTACTTCTAGTCAGTCAATCTCGGCTTTGCTAATAAACAGGACCAATATCTGTCTCCCAGTACAGAAGGGTAAGAAACAGTACATAGCCATGACACAGTGAGCATTTTCCAAAGGGACACATATCTGTAAATACAAAATGTATATCTTTTGGTGGGGACTCCATTGAATTTGTTTTGTTTTGAATATCCATTTTCCTTTGAAAACATCACAGTGAACGATGCACAGATTGTGGTTTCCACAAAACTTGAAAACAAAAAAATCACAAGAAGATCAGAGGAACTAGAAATCACCTCCCATGGACGGCAACAGCTGAAACACCGGTCTTCTCAATTCGCCTTGCTAATTCCACCGTGTCATTAGGTGACTTTAGAAGTCGAATCTTACATGTCACTGGAATGCTCAAGTTCCTCTTCAATGTTGTTAAGATCTGGATTTTTTAAGAGGCAATAATTAATCTCAAATTATCAAAGTACATTCGCAAAAAGAAAATCACAATTTTAAGGATTACATCATGGATAACTTCTGGCTTGGTCAACAAAGCAGCACCCATTCCCCCACTGACAGAAAATGACTTCGGGCAACCCATGTTGATATCTACTGCAGCAACATCATTACACCTGAAACCCCATATCCATCCCCAAATGAATTTAATGTAAAATGTCAACAGCGTTTGAAGGTTATAGATAAAAAAAGAAAAGAAATGAATGTAAAATTATACAAATAATAGCAATTAGTACTTCAAAAGTTACGAAAACTATTCACTTCAAGATGAAGCTTACACTAGTTGAGCAGCTTTCAGGGCCCTCACAGCATCAGACGTTCCTAATTGACAGACAACCCTGTCCTTTTCTTCATTGCAGGTGCTGAAAACAACACTCTGTGTTCCCTTCTCCACAAAATCAGTGGATCCAATGATTTCTGAACAAGAAGATCACGCCTTTGTTAGATTACCAAAAACAGGATCATAATGGATGTTTCCACAGCCTCTAGTCAGCCACTAAATAGTCAGTAGTTACCAGTCACTTTTGAGCCGCAATAAGAAATAAAAATGAGAACCTTTCTCTTTGCGTTTTTTTTCACCCTAACAAAAGACAATTTAATCAAAGGGAGGAAGGGCAGAAGCAAAATAAGAAAGGCAAGAAATCCTCAAATACCCATGACGCATCTTCGATGTGAAACATCATACACGGCTCAATCAAAAGAATGACAAAACAAATGAAATAACTTTTTCTCCTTATCTTCAAGACATAGAGTAGAAATCACCAAAATGAACAGCATTTCAAATACATTGACTAGAATGAGGCAGGATAAGTCCTTGTTGTGTGAAATATTTGCATCATCATGACATTTCCTAACTGGAATAATAATTTAGAAAACTGACTAAAGCTATAAGCTTATTTTAGAAGCTAAGCAAATATAAGAAGTTCGTTTTTATATTCATCCAAGTTCAAAACCCTTACCATAAACTATGCCTAACAGTATCTTTTTCCCCCCCCTCTGAGCTCTTTCATACCAATTCAATTTTGACATTCTCTCACATATCACCCTCTTTCACTACATTTCAATTTTATTCTGTGATGGAGTTCTCATATCCAAATTTAGTTTTGGGTCGCCGATGTATCAACTCATAATCAAGACCGTCCATCGATACCAACAGGCCATCCCAGTAGATGACCACCAAGATTAGCCTTACAATAACAGAGAACACTGATCCCATGTTCCCATGGTAAAATTTGAATAGCTAATCAACTCTTTTTCGTATTGTCAAGAAGAAAGGCAGTTCGTTTGTGTTTTTACCTATGAAGCACTGACACTTTAAAAAAAAAAGAGCCTAGCCTTGTCCGGATGATCGACAAGATGCAACACTGTGACACAAGTTAGAGTCAAACTACAAATAACTCTGAATACTTCATATAATGTCGTGTTTCCAAGACTGCATCAGTGTTTATTCTTCGTGGGTATCTACAATACTCGGAAGAAGCAAAACATGGCGCGAAAAGCCAATGACTAGCAAGAACAAATAGCGACTCAAACTTACAGTAACTGCAACTGAGTTGTTGCATAACTACCGCATCAAAAACTAAAACCAAGAACTTAACGTGATGAAGAAAATCACAAATTTAATTATTATAACAATAACTGTACCATTGAATCGGCGCTCACACTTGACAAGCTTGTGATCAATAATTTCCTCACCGTAAGTAATATCTGCACCATATTGAGCAGCTAGTAATCTAAATGGCAGAGTGCCCTGCAAAAGGTACGGATGGTGAACGAAATTTATATTTCTTTCCCATTCCATTCCTCAATTTTGTACCGGCAACTAGATGAAAGGAAAGGGGGGGGGGGAAGGAAAACTTACAACTCGAACCATTGGAGCAAGTACGAGTTTGTTCTCGTACTCCATCTTCGTCGGGTGGCTTGACCAGCCCCGACTTCGGCCTCCGGCTTCCAAAAATCTGCACGGAGGGAAGGGTGGGGGGGAGGGAGAAAGGGAGGAAAACGATAATAACTTCCTTTTTGTTTTCTTAAAAACGGGTTTTTTTTCACTTTATTTTCTGGGCCAACTCTTAGTGGTCCTAGGCTAAGATGAGCAAGTCGAAATTGGACCATGAGAAAGAAAGCCTAGTCCATTTCCTCTGACGGAAAATGTGATGAAAGAGAAAAACTTCCTTTTGGTTTAGGCGTTAAAAAAAAATAAAAAAACCGAAGAAAGACTGAAATTGTGCTCTGTGATCTGTCTGTAGTCCTTTTTTTTTGGGGGGGTCAAAACTCTGTAATTACTACTCAATACTTTTGTTAAATTTTTCAATATTTTTAAAGGTAGGGGACCAGGATAAATTTTCAAAGACAATCACATTCTTATTGAATTTGGGAGAGTTTGGATACTTCCTAATCTTACAATCAATTAAAAAAAATATTTTCATACAAATCGAGATTATATTACTCTCACATATTTCTGTATTCTACTTTGTATATGAAACAGGGTCAAATGCATTAATTTTTACAGAGCAAAAATTTTGTAATCAAAACATGACAAGCGAATCGACCTGCGTGAGGGGTGTAATACGTCAGACAGTGTTGATAAGAAATAAGGAAGGAAATTTGGAACTTAAAAGCGCCTATGAAGACCAGCTTCTTCGTTTGGAAGGTTTTGAAAGAGGCTCTCTTCGGCTTTTTTACCAAAATACGATAAATAGTAAACTATATACTAATATGTTGAATTTTTAAAAGTATTTATTAATATATTGTACTTAAAATCGTTCTTGGTAAGAACGACCTTCAAATTATATACAAGTCGCTCTTTCCAGGAGATTGATTTGGCGTGAATGATTTACTTTTAAAAATTTTTTTTATTCAAAAAGTAAAACGTTCACGCCAAGAACGATTTTATTTTTTCATATTCACTCAACATGCAAAGAGAATCCTTGTCAATTATGCGTGTAAGAATAAGTATACGTGCAAGAATAAGAATATTTGACAATGTATGCGAGAATCCCATTGCTCCCATGAGGCTATAGCATCTATGGCTTTATATATATTACATGTAAATTACTTCATGTCTTGTTCTCTTCTTCTTTTTCTCTTACTTCATCTCTAAAATCCGAGTTCTCTCTTCTTCTTCTCACTTATTTCATTTTCACTATTCTCTTGCACTGTTATTTTTTAACACTTGCTTCCAAACAAGACAAGCTCTTTTACTGATACTGTAGATATATTGTTTCTCTTCTATTTTTTCTTTTAAAAAATTTACAGTTGTGATATACAATTTGATTTTTCATCCATACTACCTTGATGAGTTAATATCTCATTATTCTAATTTTCAGGAAGTGAGTGGTGGTGGGTTCAACAATCTGGAATATTTGTACTCTTTCTAACTAGATACCTCTTATTTTAACGGTTAAACTATCATCTGTTATATTGTTTTAAGATGTTAAGATTTTGATATAAGCTTCATTTTTTTTAGTATATGATTATTATTCTTTCTTATGAAAGTATACTTTTCGAGAAGTTTAAATTCAGTAAGATAAAACTGAAAAATAATCATATATACACCCTAAATATCAAATATGTGGTATATATTAAGTTGGCAATTAAAAAAAAAAGTGCTCTACCCACTTCTAATGAACTATTGCCTTCATATATTTTGTAGGTAAAAATAAGGTGCAAATAATGAAAAATTGAAATGAATGAAGGGTACTCATAATTTCCTTTTTTCATTTTGCCTTTTCCATGCTATTTGTTATGTTGTATTTTTTAATTGGTGATGCCATGTCATGATATGAGTGTTTTGAATCAAAAATAAAATACTCCGACTATCCTTTTAGTTTGTATCAATTACATAGATCTTTTTTCTATTTTAAAAGCATACAGTTTAGTCCAATTAGTTAACATTGTTAATAGGAGTATTCTAAAAAGATTCTAAAAATATTATTTTTAACTAAAATTTATATTAAAATAAAATTATTTACTATTTTACTTCTGATTCTAATAAATTCCTAAATTATATTTTATAGTTACATTAATTTCATTCAGCAAGGCAAACATAAAAGATTTGATTAAAATTTTAACTATTTTTTTTAATAAATACATATATTTAACTAATTATGTTTATAAATCTTTGTAATAAAGAAGTGTTTAAAAGTTTTGAATTATAAATTGAAATAACTTATAAAATCTTTTAAACTTATATCATTTAAATTCTATGATAAATAAAAACTACAAATTTGAAATATATTTTTACAATTTAAAAGAAATCAAAGTAAATAATTTTTAATGAATGTGATAAACTAGAGAAAAAATCTTTATTTTTGAATCCTTCATTTCAACCCAATGGCCTAAAAGATTTTAGCCCAATTAAATTTTTAATTTCATGCAATAAATTGATATTTATTAAATTAAATTTTACAAAAATAATAACTATTGCTTTGAATAATTGGTCTTGCACATATAATTAAATTTTAGAATGATTTTATTCTCGCATGCATTGTTAGAGATTCTTATTCTTGCATGCATAATTGGTCTTACATGCAAACTTGGAAGAAATTCTCTTGTATGAGAGTGAAAAGGAAAAAGTAAAATCGTTTTTTAGCGTAAATGATTTCAAAAATCATTCATTGCTTGAACGATTTCTGAATCGTTCAAGCCAAGAAACGATTTGTGTGTAATTTGAAAGTTGTTCGTGTCAAGAATAATTTTAAGTGCAACATATGGGTATAATATTTTTAAAAGTGCAGCCTATTGAAACTTAAAAGCGCGTATGAAGACCAGGTTCTTCATTTGGAAGGTTTTGAAAGGGCTCTCTTCCAACCCAAGAAAACGTGCCCCACAGCCTCTTTGTTTGTCATGTTGAGCGAAAGTAGAATCACTGCTTTCTCCGATGCTGCCGGCTTTTCCAAGGTTATCCTCTTCTCATAGTAAATCACAATGGCATGTGCCCGGATTGGCCTAAAAATGTTCAAAAAAGTAGTAACTCAACCTTGGAGATTGACAGTGAATGAATCTCTAGTGGATGTGCCTCCTCAAAATATGTCACAGAATGCACTCTATCTTATGCAGTGATTTAATACATATATAATCCATCCCACTGGATTTACTTTGTCTGGGACAGATTTGTGAAATAGATTCCCCTCTTTTGAAACTCCTCGTTGAATCCAAGAAAATTCTGGTCCCTTTCTGCACCAGTTGGTTCCTGCAGCACCAAATTGCACATGAGAGTAAATTCAGTGCCGTTTTCAGCATCCGCATAAGCTGGGGCAGTTTTTTAAGCTATGATTCATCTTTGAAACCACTGCCAGGCTGACACAAACTACAAAGTGAATGGCTTTCATGACACTTAACAAGGCTCCATTTTTATGCCTTTGTCCGCTTTCTCTTCTTCATAATTAGAAACCATTTAGAATGATTTATAAACAAATTTACATTTATAAAATATGAGATAAATATAAAAAAAATATCTTAATTTGTGTAAAATGTATTTATGAATTCCAAAGGAGCTAGCAATCCTTGGGCAACGAAGCTGAAGTTCCTAGCCACACAACATTCTGGTTATTTCAAAATTGTGCACCACCACCGATATCACCATCAAAATAGACAAACATGCCGGCTAATTATATCCCAATAATTTCGCATTCGGGCCTCTCGTACGCGTATACATGTCATTTACCCACACACCCAGCCCTTGTCTTCATCCCAAGCAGTAGGACCTCACAACTGACACCTCACACACTCACTTATCACAACACCTCCAATAATACTCTTATCACTTTTCTCAACGTAAACCCCCAAATTTGGACCACCCAACTTCATTGGCATTTTCGAACATTAGAATTACATTCAGATCGTACCTGCCTCCGACACACAGACGGCGCTCCGATACCCAATCTACTACTATATTCGTGGGTCACTTTTGGATTACAATAATATTTTCTATTCAGAGTTTTTTTTTTCTTTTCTACAAAGTTACCAAGTACGACAGGCAGGGAGGAGGATTATCGCTAAAATCTGGCGTTCTCAAAGCCATGCAAGTCGCTGACTCTGTTCAAGGACTTCCTCATGATTGCCACTTTAGCCAACCTCTCGGCGGCTCGCCAGGCTGACGTCGGCGTAAGTAGCTCCATCTTCTCCGCGCGATTATTTCGTTGGCTCCCGCTCTGAAGCTTCTGTCTCCGCCGCTGTAGCTCGAACAGCTCGGCTTCCAGCCACCGCAAGTACTCCTCAGCCGATTTTGAAGCCGACTGCGTCAACAGAGCTCGAGCGGAGGAGAGTAGGTAGCCAGCTCCGCATAGATCGCGGTGCTCGGCTAGCCGTCTTGACTCGGCTATTGCTCTTGCGGTGACGTGGAGATTCCGCAATCGTTCGATCTTCGGATCCGACGAGCGGACGGCGTGGGGTCGGGGAATGGGAAGTGCCTGCTCTCTGGGATATATTAACCCTCGAGTAGGTGGGTCCCGGTAAGATGATCGTACGGATAGAACATGGTGGGACCCAGCCGAAGCGGCGGGCACTTTCAACTCCACCAATAATGCTCTCTCTTCATCCGCGTAAAGATCGCCTAAACGGACCAGACCCGCCCCAATGGCAGTAGGCCCACCCGAGACGCAGTACACTGCGGCGATCTCCGCCGGAAGGGGGCGGGAGACTACCCTTAGTTGAAGCCTCAGGTCTTGCGCCACCATATTTAACAAACCATTCAAGTACTTGCCAAGAGAGTAATGTGGCTGTGCGTGGTCAAACGTGGTTCCTCCGTCCGGTAGTCTCACGGAATGGACAGGGATATCAAGGTGAGGGTGGCGCGTAGATGACACACACGGACGTTCTTCCACGAATAAAGGATTAGTTATGCATTCATTTTCACCATCCGATAGAAGAACGATGCTTGCTACGGGGTTCTGCTCTCGTCGATCTTCTAGCACCTTCGCGGCTTTCCTAAGCGCGTCGTCTTTAAAACACGATCCTGCTCGGCTTTCGGCAATCGCGGTCAGTTTGTCCACAATCCGACGCGCCGATCTCTGCGCACTGCTGGTCATTCTTCGCAACGGAAGAAGCCGTTTTGACCCCAACGAGAAAGCAACAATGGAGAGACGATCAGTGGACCCAAGGGACGAAATCACTAGTCGCATCGACCGTTTTATTACCTGAAGCTTTGAGCTGGCCATGGTCCCACCGACGTCGAGCACCATCACGAGGTCTATCGGTGCCCGGCATGCCAATGTCCGACAAGGCGGAGCCTTGACCTTTAAGACCATAACGTAAGTCTCATAATTTCGATTTGCCGCCATGATAGCAGCCTCGGGTAACAAGGACATTTCAATGTCTCTGGTCTCTGGCGAAAACAGAGGATTCCGAACTGGATTCACGTTAAAACCTTGGAACTCTATCGATTCTTCTTCTGAAACTTCGTCATTCTCATCTGATTCAGGTATTGGATTGAAGCGAGCGACAGAAGTGGGAGACATGAGGGGCTCGTCATCGCTGTATACTTTCAAAGCCTTAGTAGTCCTGACATTTCTGGTAACCTTGTGTGCTCTGTTTTCCTCTGATGATTTCTGGTAGTTGTTGTCATTGTGCATGGAGAATGACGGCAGTTCTTTCCAGCTCGTGCTGCAGACAGGACAGAGAAGGATTTGTTGCTTGGTGACATGAGTAGCTACGCAGTGGAAGTGAAAGGTGTGAGAGCATTCTGCTGTGAAAATCGCTGTCCCCGATCCAGCTTTTACATTCTGCATACAGATTCCACATTTACTCTGCAGAAAGGGGAAAAAAACAGGAGTCCAAATGGAATGTGAGACAATGAAAATGAATCAACTTCTCAAAAAGACATAAGCGCAACTCAGATTACCTTGGATAGTCGTAAGCTGGCTTTGAGAAGTGAGAAACTTGACGGCGACTTTGGTGAGGGCGGATCAGAGAGCTTCTTGGGAGTTTTGGCAGTTCTGCAACGGAGTCTAGGGCTATTGGGAACTGAAGAAGTAGGAGCTGCCTTAGGCACAGAAGTTCGACACCGAAGTCTAGGGGTTGAAGGATTAGAGAAGAAGGCAAAGTTGGAACTTGCTCTCGGAGTTTGGTTGGTATCATCATTGTCGCAATGTTGCTGATGCTTCTTTCTCAAAGCTTTAGAGTCCGTGTCCTTGGAGATGGAAGTGCAAAACGCCTTTCTCCAACCAGTGATCATATTCTTACCCCCTCGATCTCTTTTCCTGTAATTTTTTTTCTGCCAAGTTTGATGTTTGGCAAAAGCCTATGTGCTATGAGCGTAGATATGATTCAAAAGCCCTTTTCATCTCTCCTTGCCATCCCTATACCACCTATTTATCGCTTCTCGGACTTGCTGTATTTTCAAAATATCAGTATCTCTGTTTCGAGAGCCCCAATGAAAAGGAAAGCCTTCGCTGAAGGTTTCCCACGGCCGTTTAATAATAACTATAATTATTATTATTATTATTATCATGGGAGGAGTCAATTGTAAGTCATCAGTGTCAATGTCCATAGACCACAAATAATATTATATGCCTTAGAAGCACGGTCTAGTTCTGCATCTGAAAGCAAAAACTTCAAAAAAGCGACCTTTATTTGAAATGTAATGGACTCGACTTTAATTAAGTTCCATTTAAAAATTAAGGTGATTGGATATTGAAACAAATGTCGATATATATCTATGAAGCTTAATTTTATACAAAATATATTCAAATAGAATGTGTTTAGATTATATTTTGAAAGTATTCTTAGCACAAGTTGTTTTTTTGGGGGCAAATCGCTACCTCCCCTAGTCCCATCTCATCTCAAGGATGAAAAGTTAATCCTGATGTGAAACTTCTTATATCCGTCTAATTGGCTTTCCCGTTTGAATTTTTTTTTTTTTAACTCCAAGTACACATTCGGGAGTTGACATGGTAACGGACAGGTGGAGGTTGTAAATTTGTAATATACGTGTAATGAGGTCAACCGATATAGGCTTTGCCTTAGGAACTGTGCATTACTGTTACGTAGCCACGTTACCATGTTCAGCACCGACCCATGCAGGCAGCCATATTTCTTCACAAGAAGGGTTCATCCCTGGTTGCTCTGGTTCATCCCTTGCGCCTCAATCTTGCTCATATTTCGTTCTTTTCACCCAAACAAATCTCTATCCACCGTTTTGTCTCGTTCTTCCTCCTTTTTTAAATATCAATTCTGATTCTGATTGATACCGACCTGCGTAAATTACTTACTCACGAGTCACGACGGTACCGACTAGCTGAGCTATGATATGATTCCTTGATAATGGAGTCCATTTCGTTGTGGGAAATTGTGATCATGACTAGTCCTTTCTCTAAAGGGAGGGTGAAATTGTCATTTCAAGCAAAGTTCATTTATTATCTTCACGATATCCTAAGTATATTTTAAAGTTTATATTTCTGTCCTTTAACTATTAAACAGTTAAATAAGAATAACGGCTGTTTTGCACAAGCAAGCATCGATCCCGATGGAAATGACGAAACCACTCTGATCGTTGACTAATTCCAACTGCCAATGGCTTCTTTCAAAGTTTTTTCAAAAAGAACACAGACATAGGGTTTTGGCTATTTTACAAGAATTGGTCGCAATATTATTCTCGGTACCCTATGAAACTTTTTTTAGCGAATGCGGAGTGAGTTTTTAAAAGACAAACAACCCTATGGTTATTTGTCAGTGCCCCTATTGTAGCAGAGAAGTTATTCCACCAAGTACCTCTGAAAAGTTGAAAATGGGACATGTCTTAAGGACACAGAGCCATATAGACTTTGTCCTATATTCTCACAAATCTCAAATCCCTCGGCTTTCATGCATCGGGAACAAAGTGCCTTGAAAGAGGACAAGACCCAGAGAGCCAAACACCCATTTCGAACTGATTTGATGGCAAACAAATTGAAGCTCAAGCCTTTGTGCCAGCTCTGGTCTGATGTGAAAGGGAATAGGAAAAACAAGGCTTGCATTTAGGCATTAGTAGCAGGAGAATCAAAATATATATGAAGAATTTTGCAGATACTGGTCATTGGAACAAGTGAGAGGTGTGAACAGATATGAAGAGAAAGGGGCTGAGTTGCTTACAGCATAAAAAGCGAAGGCTATGAGTAATAGGGGTGGGGTAGGGGTTTGATGAGAGTGATTAATAAGGGGCATCAAGCAAAGTATCGATTAGGGTAAAGCCATTCTTGGCTTTACTCAAATAATCTTTCTCCTTCCAAATATATCATGCCAGTAGTACAGCCTGACAACAATGAACGAGGTTGTGCTTAGCTTAATTACTTTCAGCTCATTCGTAATCATCGCATCACCTCCACCCTCCTCGCAGAAAGCTTCCCCTTTTTCAAACAAATAAATATGCTAAAATGTCCAAGAAAATCCCTTGGAGGAGGGAGTAAGGATATTCAAAATTCAAATTTCAACTTTGAAAGAAGAAGCCCTTGTCATCATAGAAGCAAGTTCGTCATAAAACGACACCTGTGAACACAAATATAATATTAAATCCACAGGCGTCCCGAAATAAGTATAGACCCAATAGAGTGATTGGTTCTCTATACAGTGTGTTGATTCAAACACTACAAACTTGACAAAAAAAAATCAAATATTTTTTATTGATTATATATTCGATCTTATCTGTAAATTGTAAGCTCCAAATTTAAAAAGAGATGGTCTATTTTGTAAATTTTAATTTGGATTTCTCTTAATATTTAATTTTTTTTAATATTGTCCTTAATTATTATTTTTTTGTTACACTTTTCCGCACATTTTTTTAATCTGTTTTCTCGTTTATATTATAAGGATATATTTAAAAATAAAAATATATTTTAAACCTATTTATTATTTTTAATTAATTTTAAATAATTATTTTTTTCTGTAAATTAATTACTTAAAACTTATAATAAAAAACGGAGAGAGTATTATATTATTTAATTCCAATGTTTTATTTGTTTTTATAAATACTATTTTTAATTTCTTATGCAGCATATGTTTTGGCGTGAGAATTCACATAGGGTGAGAGTAATTAATGATTATTGAGTCGAGTGTTTAAAGAGTCACGTGCAACTTGCCTCCCGAGACTTGACGGCGTTTGTCACAGTTCCTTGCTAAGTGCGCTCATGTGGGACGGTGTTAGTCAACTCTGGTTATCTTTTTTTTTTCCGTCTTTTTCAAGCTCGCCCCCTCCCCACTTTCTTGATTCACGAACTCTTGTTAGACTCCGTGATTTGTGAAATTGCGGCGACGTGTCCAATTTGATCCCCATACAAAAGAGAAAATTCAATGAATCCATTGAGAAATTATTTTAATAAGACTTATTCTGCAGATAAACTGATAAAGATTAAGGATTCGTAACCATTTAATTAAAGAATAAAATGGTATTTTCTGAGTAATTATTCTATTCGGACTCAAAAATACTGGTATAATTCATCATTGTCTAATTCGCCAAAATAACAAAAAAAAAGTTTAAAACTAATTAACTTTGACACAGGTCTAAAATTTTAAAAAGAAAATGAGAAATTTTAGTCTTGTCTGCACTGCTTCTTTTTTTTTTGGATTACTCCATCCGATATCCAGGGAAATAGGCGTCTTTCAACCGTGACAACGTTCCAGACTAATCCGGATTCGGGGGCTTGCAAGGATCCATACGGACGGCACCCTCTGGCCCTTGGAGTGCTGCACTGCTTCTTTAGGTGTTGTAAACATTTTCACATAAATCAAATAAAATTCTTCTCACCTACTTACTTTTTACTACCTCCTGTCCTTAATATAAGATCCTGTTGATTTTTATTTTGGTTCTAAATATAAAACCCCAATCTATTTTGTCTCTCATATTTATATTTTTTTTTCCAAATAGCCTTTCTAACAATTATAGTTCTAGTTAATACACTTGATTAGTAATGATATTTTAAGAAAAACAACACCTATTTAGGACACATAACTAACTCAACTTACTTTCTTAATCTCCTCAAATTAGTCAACTGGCTCTTATAATTAGGGTCGGAGGTAGTATTTCGTAAGTCATAATTAGAAAATTGTGTTTGAAGGCTCCTACGTCATTTCAAACAAGTCATTCTCCTCTTTTTGACATAAATCAACGGGGACAACACTGCCCCAAGACACAATGAACACTAACAATTTGAGGCTGCAGACGAGTTTGTCTCACTCACCGACAAAAAAAAAAAAAAACTAAATTACAAGAACATGGATGATAATAAGGTATTATTAGGTGGGGAAAGAGGATAATAATGAGGTGAGCATAGGAGCATCATGAGATCCGTGAAAATTGTTTCGTGTTCATTGCCGAACTTGAAACCGGAAGCATGCATACATTAACATCATCAAGTTTTAAAACCCCTTTTTACGCCTCTCTTCTCAATTTTTTTTTTTTGGGGTAATAAGCCTTTCTTCTCAAGTTGTTACATTACGTATAAGAGCCTAGTAGACAGGATATGAATTAAAAAAAAAATTACTCACATTGGTTGAATGAATTAAATCTGTAGTCAAATATTTTTTTCCAAATTTATTATCTGATAATAATGGTTGACATCTCTTCTCATCAATCCGAAATTTCTCATGCTTTATCTGGTCAAGGGCATTTCCAAAAAAAATAAAAATCTAAACTGGGTCTTTAGTTTTGAATCACCAACCAAATATGTTAACAAATACTCTAAGCTTGAGGCCTCAATCCGGGGGGAAATTTGAAACCAACCCCTTAAAAAATAGTACCTCCAATCCTTAATATAAGACCCTGTTTGACTTTTATTTTGATCCTAAATATAAGACCCCAATCCATTTTGTCTCTCATATTTATACATTTTTTCCAAAGTAGCCCTTGTAACAATGATAGTTTTAGCCAATACATTTGATTAGCAAGAATATTTTAAGAAAAACAACACCTATTTAGGACAGATAACTAACTCAACTTACTTCCTTAATCTCTTCAAATTAGTCAACTGACTCTTATAATTAAAACCGGAGGTAGTATGAGTAAAATATGGTCGACATCTCTTCTTTAATGGCATCAGCACGCACAAATTTGACTCGTTTGAATTAGCATTGACAAAACCAGTTGTTATCTCAACTGAATGCTGCAAATTAAATGTTAAAATAAAAGTTTAGTGTAATGTAATGTTAAACTAAAATTGAATAATCAACATCGTATACAAATCATTTCCCAATCCATGAAATCTGAACCATTTAAAATAGTTTGGATAGTTCAAATTTAAAATTTTTCAGATGTGTCAGTTCTAATACAATTTTATTTTAAATTCCACATCAATTAAAATAAAAAAACTACTTAAATTGAATCCAAAACAGACAAGCACTTGGACGAGCATCATCCCCCTGGCTATTCTATCTTTTGGTAGTCACGAACGTAGTTTGTGGTAAGGAATGACCGAATGAGTTGCCTTCAGCACTCCCATCAGACACGCACCCACCATGTTAAACCCGTGAATCTAAGTATCTAACAGACATGACAAACCACGCTCACTTATGTGATGATTATTTTGATGATAATTATTCAAATCCATATATTGCATTACTACATGCTCATGATAATGGCCATTCTCCTGACACCAATATAAACCAACATTACCTAATCACAGGCTAACTATGACATTAACAACCACGTAGCTTGTAACCGAGCAGCTTCAGAACAACTACTCGCTGGAGGTATTTTTGTAAATATGTTCCTTCCAGGTACCCTTACTGCAATTCTCCCAAAACTATAGTATAATGCATTGTGCACCGTTAGGTGAAATGCAACTAGGAACTGAAAACTTGAATAACGTTAGCACCTTTGTAGTACGGAAGAAAATAAAAGCTAAGACTTCCAGGAAAGACCAGCGTAGTCTATATTGTAAATCTGGGGGAATCCAAGGGCGTGGACACTGGACAGTGGCCCCGAAACAGTGTTCAGTGTTCTGGTAAAGAAGTGTTAAAAAGAACAAACAATACACAGGACAGGGGTGTCAAATCACACACGGATATAATATTGGTGGTCTTTGATTTGATGGTAACAAGTATTCAACCCATTTAAACAAAAAAGCTCCCATCACGACATAATATAGACTTCACAATTGCTGACTTTTAAGATAGAATAATATATTTCAAATAATAACAAATCAACATCCAACACAACCTTTTAGTGTATATGTTATAACCAGAGATAAGGTAAGGTTTGTATTGTTGACCCTCCGTCTAAGGTCGGAGATTCAGTAATTTACAGCGTACTTCACATTGAGTTTTTGCAGACAGAGGAGTCAATAGTCCCCGATGTCATTCTAGCTCCTGCTCCTGGATTTCTCCATAGCCCTGGGTGCTGCAGAGAAACGGATCCACTTAAGCAGACAAAAGATATTTCATTTGAAAATACAAAATTAACTAAAATCAGCTTAATTCGAATTAGCTTGTATTCCCCCAACAGAGGCAATCAACTGTAGGTCGATGTAGATACAAAAATCCTTTATAATAATAACTTGTCTACAAGACCAATCCCATGCAATAAATTCTACTCTTCCCAATTTTCATACTACGCTATGATTAATCTACCAAAACCAACGAACAATACAGACAATCTAGTTATAAAAAAGTTGCATTCGAATAGCAGAAACAATTTAGGTTCCTAGTTGTGTGTCTGTCTAAAGTAACCATATATGGTATGGCATTTATTGACACTGTCAAGATTTAATGGCCTCGTTTAGACGCACCCAGGTCCCCATCTACTGCTGCATACCCAGCCTTTAGACATGACTGCTGTCTCATGTAAAGCAAATGGTCCCATTCCATTATTTTACATAACAACAATAATCATCATTAAACATGTATAAAAGACTACAACAAATTATCATTGTCGGGTACATACCTAAGCCAATCGCATCAGAACCTTTCATGATTTTCAGCCTCTTGCAAGTCTCAATAAACATCCTGCAACACAAGCAAATTGCATTAGGAAAGGGAGGCAGACTAGAGCCAGGTACAGAATTCATTCCATCAGAAATACAGTTGCCATCTACATGATGATCATACATGACCTTATACAGTTGCCTTCAATTCTACTCAGAAGCAAATCTTCTAGCCATGATCAAGGCCTTGATCATAACTAATATACAAGCCCATTATATGATTGAAAATATGGGTACGATGTATCACAGTAGATCAATCGCACATAAATTTTACTTTTGTCAAATGCCCGGAAAATAAAGTTATATACAGAAATCCATGCATGACCTTATCCAGTATAATATTTGCACAGCAACACATTCTTGGTGACACAAGCTCTTTAGGTTCTATTTGAAATGTTGCATTGTGTTTTATATAAGCATCTATACATGGTAGAGATGGAAAAAGGCTCGTTTCCTTTTCTTTGTTTTATTTTTTTCCTGAGTTTTGCATTCTTCATAGTCAATGGAAGAACATTCTTGCTAGTTCAATAGACTCAGAACAAACAGAATATAAAGCACTGCACCGCAGTCAAAAGTGTATTTCATCAACATATCAATAATTATGACAAAAGTTAATTTGCTATAGCATCTTGCACTAGTGTTTCATAAAACAAGATTTATGAAACAGCAGAAAAGGACATGGATTGTTCAGAAAACTTACTCCCATGGTACATCCCCAACAAGCATCCAATCACCATCTTTATCTTCATAAGTGAGTACATATTCTGAACCATGCAGGAGGTCCCTCAGCTTGCTCTCACTCAACATCTCTCTTCCTGGAGCTCCATGGGAACCACATTGACCTGCAAAATTATAGAACGTGTAGTAAATCCATTCCAAAGATACAGCTTGAAGTACGACATAGCATTATAATGAAATACTTAAAAAAATTCGAGTAGTTTTGTTTTCAAGACAATATTAAAATTGTCGCAGCTCACCTAGAGTGAAACAGCTGAACATCTTCTCAAGGGCAGAAGACAGATCCTGGTATGTATTGTAACTCCTAAGATCAACCTTCCTTAGATAGGGAGCTCCATCCATGCTCACCTTCACAAAGAGAGCAGCAGGACATGGTTTTCCATCTACTTCATCATTGTTCTTCGAAGTGACAGCCAATGAGTTCTTCCTAAATGATCTTATTGGAGGCCAACCAACAACCTGTGCCCTGAAATAGTTGAGATGTACATTGAGGTAACTAGTGATAAATGGAAATTCCTTCAATATTTCAAATAAGGTTATCCAAATTCCAGTTGCTATTAACAACTATTAACCCATGAATCCTTTATGTTTTACTCACTTAGAGGCAGGAGCACTGCCACCAACAGAAGCATCCGTTTTTTTATGGCCTGTTCCGTTAGTTGCACAGGGTCGTTCTTGCAACACCTTAGTCGGCATTTCTTTTGTTGTGGTTGGTTGAGCTCTAGCAGATCTAGGAGACAGCAGCACATTTACACCCGAATTCCCCGGAAACTTTCCCTGAACGACAGGTTGTGGGAAATCATACTCCAATTCAAATATAAAACATGTGCTCCCCTTAATTTTAAGAAGAAATCTTTACCTCAGGTAACCCATTCATGGTGTCAGAGAATCCCCTTTTGTTGCCTGTAATCACAGTTTTCTGGGACAACGAGCAGATTCCATCTTTAGCAGGAAGCAGAGGAAACAGCGGCTTCTCATTGAGTTTTGTTGAGCTGTCATCCCTTTCAGGCGATTGGGATCCTGGAAGACCCAACCTTAATTCTGTAGCCTTGAAATTCAGATTGTCCTTTTTCTCATCTGAGTCGCTTGGAACAGTAGAGCTGTCCACTGATGAACAATCTGATAACCCTAGGTAATTACGTTCCTTTAATCCAGTCACATTTTGGGAGATACGATCCGAGGAAGTTATTGTTGAGGTGTTGCTCTGCCCTTCCTCCGGAGCAATCAGAACTAGTGGAGACATTCGACTCCAACTATACACACTGCGTCACATGAAACCACCGGGGGGAAAAAAAAACTCACAGTATCATTCGGGATTTAGGAAAAGAACATACACGTCTAATTTGCTGGCATGCAATTTCAGAGTGGAATGCAAAATGCATAATGATGCCAGAAACAGAAAAACATTAAATTAACATATTACCTTCAAAAACATAATCATAATCAAGTTAGAGATTATTTTTAAATAAAATTTTTGAGACATTCGAATCACCCATCCCTACTCCACACATTACTGGAGTTGTGTCCCAGTCGATCGCGGGAAAAGGAAAAAGCCACAAAAATTGATAGAGAAAAATAAGAAAGTTAAAATACAATACCGGGGGGGGGGGGAGGGGAACTCAAACACAAGGAACACATTTCCTAAAAGCAAGTCAGCGAGTTCATCCGCAGATTGCATCAATGCCAAGGTTTCAATTTAGAGCAGTACTCTTGATATTGTAATCAACTGAGCTCATTTAGGCCATTAAGATCCCATGCGTTTTTAGTTTCAATGCTGCCTTTTTATTCCAAACTAAAATCCTACCAGGGCTTTATGCGCTCAGTTTTCCCGCAAACGAACGCCGAAATGTAAAAGAAGAAAACGAAATCGTCACTCGATTGAAAGAACTGCCGCTCAATAGATCCACAAGATCACTCGTCCCAAAAGAAAACATAACAAGACGCCACGAAACGTCAGATATTTTCCCAAGAGGCAAGTTAGCTCACAAAAGTAAAGGGCAAGGGAAAATAAGAAGTTGAAAGGAAGATTTCAAGTCTAAACTCAAAAGGCACATTCTAGTTGAAAGTGGGAAAAAGGAGTAAAACATTCATTCCCCAACAGTACAAGACCTTCATCAACTCTACTCACAGTGATTCAAGGAAAACAAAGAGCTGAAGATGTAAAGAAAGAGGTGGAGAGGAAGATTTCAAGTACATACCGAACGAAGTCTTGGTAGATCAGCAGAGAAGAAGTCCTCTCCGATTATTCTTCAGAAACTTTTTCGCAGGAAAATGCTAAGCGAACGCATTGAATGGAAAAGCAGAAAGAGAGAGAGAAAGCTCAGGGCCCTTCCATTAAGCACAAAGCAACAAATGCTTTAGGCTATGTTCTTTCGAATACAATATGAAATATATGGACGATGAAGCGAAAAGGGCCAAAAAGGACTGAGAAAAACGGAAATTACGTATAAGGACTTGAGTTATCATCCTCCCTCGAGAAATGGATTAACTTTTAAAAATTTAAAATAATAAAATTTTCTAATTTTATTTTAAAATCGTTTCTCTCATATATTTAATAAAATAAAAAATTATATCAATTATCCTAACAACTTCTTCTATTTTAGATTACAATTTTGTTCTCATCAATATTATCTTATATTATGCATCAGAGGGAATGTTACCTAATTTTAATATGTTATGAAGTTTAAGGAAATCAGTATCCAAATAGTTTAAATGGTGTTTTCATTAATATTAAATTTTACCAACTTTATACTCCCGGTCTTTAATATAAGACTTAATTATTAAGTTAATTTTAATTTTGAATATAAGATTTATTTCTCATATTTGTCAATTTTTTCTAAATTACCTTATAGATACTCTATCAACTATAATCAAGTATGCGAGGGAGGAAGGATATTAAGAAAGATGATTATGGTGTTTTAGAAAAAAATATGTTATATTTCTTATAATTAACTAACTTACCTAACTTCCTTAATTTAATCAAATTAGTTAAACAGATATTATATTAAAGACCGGAGGAGTAGTAAATTTCACATTATTGAATAATAATTACAGCATTTGAAAATAACCATGATTATTGAATATTTTTATATTGGATGGAAGTAAAACGAATTTTGAGTCTTTAGATTTTTTTAAAAAAAATTACGATTCATTATATGAAACTAATAGTCAAAATGTTAAAAAAAATATCAAAATAAGATGAAGGAAATAAGTATCAAAATGATAATATTAGGAGTGCACTTGTTGAGGAGGATATTTTTTAACTGCTCCAGATCTGAAAAAAACTAGTCTCAAATCTAACATTTTTTAATTTTAAATATAAAACTTATTTTATAGTGTAAATAAGAGGAATATGATTTAAGACACTCCTGTTTTACCCTAAAAAAACGTTGACATTAAAATGGTTAAAAAAAATACAATAAGCCGGGGGGTTAAAAGGGTAAATAAGGAAAAGGCATGGCGTCAAGCAGAGAAGTGCGGCGATGTACGAAGAAGTAAAGCATCGGAGGGCGGAGAGTGATTGAGAGGGAGAAATCAGGGAATTGCTGGTGGGGGAGACCGGGATATAAATAAGTTGTCGCTGTTAACAGGCGGGCGTGAGCGGGGGAAGAGACAAAAGTGAAATGTCAAAGCTGACCTCGAGGTATAAAAGGCAGGGGTGGCTGAGGACGAGAGGGGGAATGACGGAAAAGAGGAAGGATAAAAAAGGAAAAGAGGGGGGGACAAGAAACAGGCATAACAAATGGGCTTGCCGGGTGGTGAGCAGGACACATAACCTCCTTCTTCTCGTTCATTATGACTTTGCTTTTCCCATCATTACCTTCCTTCTTCTCTCTCCTTACATCTCTTCAAACATCATCATTATGGCAATGATGCATCTTAGCCTTTTAATTACCTTATACCCATATTATACCATTATTTTGAATTTTAAAGTTAACATGATTTTCAATATATTTTATTTTTTATATTTAATCTATTCTTTAAATAGTTTTTATAATAGTTACACATGTTAAAGATCCAATAAAATGATAGTTTTGACTAATACATAATTAGTAAAAATATTTTAGTTTAATCTATTCAAATTAATCAATTAACTCTTATATTAAAAACAAGATGTAGTATTGTCTAACCAATGACATCATCTATTCACCCTTGGCTAATGGTGTGTTTTGATTTAAGTTGGAAGTAATTTATAAGATTTATTTACTAAAGTTAGTTAAAAAAAAAATGTTACCTGTTAAAATTAATTATGAGCATAGTAGAACAAATAATCAGTGTTCCTGCTTTATTCACTTTATAATGAACTATAAAAGCAAGAAATAATAATGTTCTTGAAAAATGTCCAGACATTCCTAGTAAACAGACTCTAATGTAGAATATAAAATATAAAATGTAGATCTTCAAGATATATAGAAGGAAAGCTACATACTACAAAACGAGGGCTGCAAATAATTTTACTTTTTTTTTTATTTACAGATAAAAAAGGAAAAGAAAATAGGAAGCATGCGAGACAGAACCCATACTAAGCCTTCATGCACATGCGTGTTTGTTTCCGAAGTGGCCTGAAACACATTATGGATTTGGAATGTGTTGGTGGCAGACCAAACACTAACCCAGTGCAGGTGTCCCGTTTTTAGATTTTCTTCTGTTGCCTCACATCATTTTCGCCCCTTTTATTCATCTCAGTTTATCCAATCTTCATTTTAGGCAACTTCACAATTTTTTTTGCTCATGTTGTTTTGCGGAATACGTTTGCTTTTTTTTTTTTTGGGGGGGGGGGGGGGGAGGAACTAGAAAGAATGAAAATTGGAGTGGGGAGGAGCGTCGTTGGTGGGATTTAAGCGGAGAGAAGCACCAAAAAAATTGCATGGGTGTGCCTCGACAGGGGGACCCACTGGCCCCAACGCCTCCGCTTTTGTCCCCTCCCCTTTTCTTGGGATTTTTACCAAAATGCTATGAATAGTGAAATAAAATACCAAAATGCTACAGTGCAGAAAGATATTACCAAAATATTACACTTGAAATTCATTACCAGGAGATGAATTTATAAACTTCATCTGGCCTAGAACGAGTTCTTCAATAAAGTGGGAAAATTTGCAAATTCATCTGGTAGAGATGAATTTGTAAAGTTCATATTTGAGTGATGAACTTCAGAAAAAGTACTTTTGTCATTTTCTCCCCATTTCCATGCGTTTGAGCATCCTCTCCCCGTACAAATCTCTCAAAACCACTTTTGTCTAAGTCAAAAAAGCAATTGAACTCTTTGCATGCGTTTGAAGCTGGGAAGAATATTAAGTCATGGCTTGCTATATATTTTGCATCTCCTCTTACACCCATGAATGTGTCTGAATCATCCAAGCTTTACTTATACATTTTGCATCTCCTCTTATGCCAGTAGCCCATAAATGCGTCTAAGTCCTCCGCATGTTGAGCTTGTGTTCCCACTTTATGTATTCAGACTTCTCTCTTCTCTCTCATCATCTTACTCTCTCATTTTATTAGTTGCTCCAACCTCTTCCATTCTTTTGCTGTCTTGTTTCTCTACTCTTACTTGTAAACATTTGACACATACTTTTACTATTGCTGAGGCCCTGAGGGTATGTTATTTCTCTTATGTATTTTTTATTTTGTCATTATAATATTTAATTTGATTTTCTTCTTTATTTTTTTATTTGATAAACTATTATTTTAAATCTTCAAGTGCTAAGTGGTGGGTTGAACAATTTCAAAAATCTATACTCTTAGGTGCCTCTTATTTTGCAGATAAGAATCCTCTATTGTATAGTTTTAAGATCTCAAGATTTTGTTTTAATCTCTATTACCCATTTAGTCCTATTTATAAGGCACTTTTAGTATATTTCATACAGAGGATTAGTGGCACTTCATGAGCAATAATATTATAACATAAATAATGCGTAATGTTTTTTTAAAATCTTTTAAACAAGGAAAGATTTTTTTAAAAAATTTTAAATTTTAAGATCTCAAATTAATATTTGTTGCTATACTTATAAAAAAAAACTACACTCAAAAGATAAATAACAACATACTTTTATAGTAATTCTTGATTTGAAATTTTAAAATTTAACAGTTTTTTTTTGAAAAATTTTCCTTTAAACAAATATTTGTTCTTTAGTATTATTAAATTAAAATTAAGTATTGGAAAAATCAATTCATAATAATAGGCGTCCCAATATTATTTTTTAAATAAAACTAGGACAGTTTTAATTTACGTGAAAGAATAAAGTGGATTTCATTTAATCTAATTTTTTTAAAAAAAATTCTCTTATACTTATAGGTATTTTTTTTTACCAGATCTTATATTTATAGATATAGATTATGATTATTGCCTCCAAAAATATTTTCGTGTGACTTATTTTAGGGAGATGGAAAAGGAACAAGGAGCCATAACTGACTCGCGTGTGATAGCTATTGAAGGCGACTAAGACATCCCTCCCGCTCCTCCGACCGAGCATTTCACGCTCCTAATAAATCTCTCTTTAACATGTTTTGTTGGTACTCACTAATTCATAATGGACAGATTTATCTCACTTATTGATTCTATTCTTAAAATTTCGTTTTTATTAATTAAGTCCCTAAAATCTTGTAATCATATCCAGTTAGGTTTAATAGTTAAAAGGGAAATAAACCATGTATGATCATAAAACTTTAGTTGGTTCCCAACCTGAATTGGCCGGGCGGGATCAGACCAGGCTTTTGGGGCAGGAGCATTCTGTTAAAAGCCTAAAACCTGTGCTCTGAGGGGCCTCAGCTTCGCTAGAAAAGTATATTGGACCAGCCCAACCTAAATAAAAGCCCATCTTTTGCGAGCGATGGTTGTGTGTGCTAATATTATACTATTAGGACCAACAAGGGTTGGGTCTAGCAGAAGAGATTAGTCTTTCACAACGTAACGAATCAAAGTTCAAATTCCCGCTAAAAGAAGTATCCACATTTAGTACCCGACAGTATTTCGAATAGGACTGCCTTTAATAGAAAGATACTTACGTTTTGGGAGGGGGAAAAAATTTATTAGGGGGATGGCAATTTGAGGCCATATTAATATTTAACTTCAAACATAAGAGGATGAATGATAACAGTATAATCTTATATGATTACCAAGGACTAGATGTTCTTGACGATAATTTTAAAATTTACTGGTCTCAAGCTGGAATCAAATTAAAACATTGGTCTCCAATGTATCGCTCCTCCTGTATATTATGTATAGTGATAAAATTACGTCTGCTACAATTGACGTATTGGGAGAAAGAATTTCCATATTTGAACCAAAAAAAATATTAAAGTTGTGATGAAACTCTTTGTTGTCCACTGGATCTGACCATATCATACAGCAGAGTGTCAATTTTATGAGTGTTAAACGTTCAAATCGATAAAATCAAATCACAAAGAAAAAGTTAAAGCAGTTGGATTTCCTAATCTTATTCGTGAGTTATGAACAAATGAGTGAGAGGCACACAGAAAAAGCTTTATCTGTCCTGTGCTTTGCTTTGTGACAATACCATATGATCAGCCCCACGTTTCATAATATATGGTCTTAACTTGTCTTTGATTCAGAGGCAAAATTAATTTGAGTGCAAATATGCTAATAATATATCCACACACGTCCCTATGAATCCTGTACCATACACAGACCCAAGTTCAAAAGGTACTCCGCTCAACATAGCTTTTTTGAAAGAGAAAAAATAGATATGCTTTCTTATTGCCTTTCGATAGGGACGTGTCCATTGTGTTAGGTATAATAACCTTTCGCCATCCTTACATTAGCCACGCTCCATCTAGCTTTCGCTAATTATTATCACTTTAGACCTTTTAATATTTCAAATTCATTATCTTTTTTAAGCTTATTTTGAATAACACAGTTATTTTTGCAACGTTTCGCTCCTAAGTTGGGTAGCCCAAATATTTAATTAAAAATGTTTATAGTAACAAAACAATATCTAAAGCATTAGATTTCATCTTTCATAGTGCTAGAACAGAGCAGTTTGACTTTAATATTGGCATCATATCTTTACATGTATTTTTGTTTTTTCATGTAATATGTAACAGACTATGTTATGGGAAAAAAAAGTGTCTCTTTAATTCATTTAAATATAATTTTATCCCAAATTTTTGTTATATAATTTAATTATAATTTGTTGTATAATTAAAAGTGTGTTGATAAAGTGGGGGGGGGGGGGAATAAATTAGGGAGGGTCCAACCAGAAAGTTGACATGTCAACAGTGATTGTGTTGAAAAGCCCACGCATTGATAAAAACAAATGCGTGGTTGGTGTAACCCATTTGGTGTCCAAAAAGCTCCTCCCCTCACATGGACCCATTCACTATTGCCACCTCACCCAACCACGCATCATTTGAACTCCACATTATAATTTTGAGTTTCTCCCGCATGATCTGTTTTTGTTTTTTCACTTGAGTTGGAAAGTATTTCTTTCAATTCTTAATATAAAATCTAATTTGATTTTTATTTTAATCTTAAATATAAGACTTCAATCTGTTTTGTCTTTTATATTTATCTTTTTTTTTTTAATATAGTCCTTATAGTAATGATAGTTCTAACCAATACATTTAATTAGTAATGATATTTTTAAAAAAATAATACCTATTTATTATAAATAATAAAATTTCTTGATTTATCTAAATTAGTCAACTAACTCTTATACTACATCCGGTTCTAAATATAATAGCTAGTTGACTAATTTGAGTAGATTAAGAAAACAAGTTAAGTTAGTTATTTGTAATAAACATGTATTGTCTTTCATAAAACATCTTTAGTAATCAAGTTTATTAGTTAAAACTATCATTATTAAAAGGATTATCTTGAAAAAAAATAAATATAAAAGACAAAGTGGAATTGAGTTTTATATTTATAACTAAAATAAAAATCAAACAAGATCTTATAGTAAGCAGCGAAGGTAATATTAAGTAGCAACAACTCAAAACTATAATTGAAATCAGGCACATGACTTTTTACTTTCATGACATTTTTCATGTCACTGTCTATATTGCAAAATTACTGAGTTTCACCTGCCTTGATAAATGCGAGAAGTAACGAGAATAGAGTCAAACCCCATCAACATTCATTTCTACCAGATTGCTGAATTTGAAACACCACATTGATATGTGCCCGTAAGCTCCAAGGCATGAATTTCAAACATACTTTTTTTTTTTTGAGACAAAATATGTTAAACATAATTAGAAACTGCCCATATGCGGTAAATTTGATTCCCTGCTGATATTCATGGAGGCGTCATTTTCCCATTCACGAGCTCACATAACCTCTCACGAGCCTCAAAACGTTCATCATTGCGAAATCCAACTGTACTGTTCTCCATATCAAACAAATCATTAAAAAAAACAAAAGATCTGATGATATCTATTGGATATATCCAGCGAAGTGGCGCCACATCTCCACATTACAAGTTAATAAATTCTATTTTAACCATGCTTACCCGCTCCCCCACAATTAATTATGCTTGATTTGAGCTTAAGTAGTTATATATATAAATTAACCTCAACCACGCTAATTAATTCCCGATCCTCTCGGCTTGGATTAGTGATTTGTTTTTATTTGCTATATATGTGATGTGGCTGTTTGAAATCAATGGTGCAATTACTGAAACGAATTGCTACATTATTCAACAAATTGAAATTAAATTCGTAATTATTACTACTAAACTATAAAGAAAAGGATATTGAACGAAACAGAGACCACCCGCGCCGCAGCCTTTCATGCCTGCCAATGGCCAATTTTGTTTCATTACAACAAATTAAATATCAGAACACGAGGAAAAACAAAAAGATAGATTTCTTTCTTACCATTCCGTAGTACCACGAAAACAAAAACTTAAAAAGTATTTTAAAAAAAAAGAAGCCTTATCCTTTTGATTCCTTATTCCCACTTAATCTGTCCCGCTCTCTATATATAACAGATGCTTTGCAGATTTTAAGCTCAAATGTATGGAGAGTCAGGATTTATCGCCAACAGACATGGACACATCCCGACCGTCGCTAGGCTTCCCTCTCGGCACCGCCCTCCTCTTGATCGTCATCTTCACCATAAGCGGCATCTGCTCCTGCTGCTACCACTGGGAAAAGCTCCGATCACTTCGCCGATCGTTTCAGCCTCCTCTTCACGACTCATCCTCCCCACATAAATCTCAACTCCCCTCCATGGTAGCCCTCCTCCTCCTCTTCATCATTAAACCCATCACTAGCTATATAAATACGCAGAACTCATGAATTTACTTATTACTGATATATGTGTGTATATTTGTATCTGTGATAGGATTTGAAGCAAAACAGAGGGCAAAGCTTGCCAGTACTGATGCCAGGCGACGAAGTACCCAAGTTCATAGCCATGCCATGTCCCTGTGAGCCTGCCAGGATCTCTGTGACGGTGGAGAAACCCCCACTACTCACTGCGCCTCTGCCTTAGAAACCAGATTCCCCATTTTGTTTGTCTGTAAATACATATATAAGTAGTCAGTGTATAATTACTTTTACCAGTTTAATTTGATTGTTATATTGCGCAACTCATTAGCAGTTCCCGGAGGGAAAATACGTCTTATTTGGTGCTTCTTTGCTTTCGGCTGAAGAAAAGCGGCTGCTTGATTTTTATTCTGTATGTCGAATTCTTTCTATGGCATTGTGTGTGCTACAAGATAACTACATTGCTCCAACCCCCCCTGAGAATACTGGTTTATCATTTTTTTTTAAAAGAAATGTTTCCGATATGCATACTTTGGACAGAGCTTTGGTCTTAAAATATGCTTTTTCATTATTATATCTTTAACTTATTGCATGTCGATCTCTTGTGAAGTGCTATATATATTTGGTAGGGTCGTGTATGAAGAAAAATATCATTCATAAACTTACTTAAGTGGTCCGGCAAGTTTCTCTTAGGTTAAAAAACAATTATAAAGGCATTTATACAAACTGGTCCTCACATCACTTATTCCAAAAGAATAAAGGTACTTAGCTATCCTAAGTTCCTAACCCTTGTCCTCCGTGAGATCGCATCGCACGCCGACCTGATCTTATTAAGCTGAATTTGGATCCCATCCAAAGATGGATAACCACATCGATACCTAGTCGCAGAACAAGAATATGAGTTAGCATGTTCTGGTAAAGAAGATGTCAACGATGGCATCAATTCCAGGGCCTATATGAACCAACCACGTTAGTTACTCACAGATACCTTTGTTAAAAATCATCACTCGCCTCAGGGACTACAAATTATATCTTCAGAAAAGATCAAAAATTGACATGATTTTCGTTGGTTCCAAGTTATCACAAATCGGCTGACGTGTTCAGGTGGGATTTGGAGCTTTCTGGCTGGGGAAGTCTGCTGAGGAGCTTTCGAGATATTCGAAGGGGGAAGAAGGTGGGAAAAGAAATGATGATCCATGGAGAATAAGTGAATAATGTTGTGGGGTTTGGGACCCCAAAAGTGGACCCTCATGACCTAATTTTTCTGACCTAATAAAAATTAGAGGGCTTGAAGATCGGGCACACACACATATATATATAGTACCAGAAATATGTACCTTTCCGTGATAAATGGCAGTAGTACATGTTCACTTTATTAGTATCCCACTCTCATTATCAATAGTTTGATTTTGACAACTAGGGTTAATTTCCAGACATGGTGTCCCCATCCTCCACCACTACCACCACCATCACCTGCTCCCCCCTCTTTACTAATTTTCCTGGAACCAACTATCACAGCCTCATGACCTAATGCTTTCCTTTTCAGTCAATCAAATTCAAATTTCAGCTCTTTAATATTATCAAATGAGATGATCAGCCAATTCCTTCTTGTGTTTCATTTGCCAGATTTCAATAAGTTATTCTGCCAATTCTTTTAGCTTGCGTTTCTCTTCCCCTTTCAAACCTATATACAGCTTCATACAAATTTTATTTTTTTAACATTAATTTATATTCATTTAATCTCAATAATAACTCAATGAAAAGTTGAATGCATACATGGTACTCCAAAAGCACCCGTACAAGAGCTGCTAACAGGCTAACGTTTCTTGGTGATCTTAATTTGTACAATCAACATGTATAATAAATTTTAATTTACAACAAATCGTAAAGTTACTTAAAAGATATAAACAACTAAATAAGCACATCTAATTAATTTCTTTTCTAAGGCTTTTGGTGCAGGCAGTGCTGATAAATGCAAGGAGGGAATCCGGGAATGTTTCAAATTATTAAGTATGAAATGCCAATGTATTCCACTTGTGTATTTTCAAGTACTAATAATTATATATGCAGTGACCTAATTTCTGGAAGAGACGAAGCCGCGGCGGCCAATTCAACATGAAAGGAGCCACTGCAATATTAAATTCAGTGTGTGTGTGTGTGGTGGCCTTCGAAGTTGCTTTATATGGATTATATATATTGACCAAGAAATTACATGATATACTCGTATATTAATGTGGAACCGTGGTACTTTGCCCGTGGGCCAATTTTAATTAGTTTAATCAGTAAACGACAAGAAAGTAATCAAGATCTTGATTTGTTTAACTAGCAAACGAGGAGAGGGTAATTCATGTCCTTTTGACTATTGCGTTATTCGATATCAAAACGACAGATTAAGAATCTTAGGAGACCGTAAAATCGAGAACACCCGTCAAATCCTAATTATTTCTCGGATTAATTAAATAAATGGTTGTCCGATGATGAGGATCACATAGGAGTACTAGAATACAGCAGTAGTCAATAATATATTATTCGTTTACATGACGCCTGATTATACAAAAGACAAGTGGTAATTTAATTTATGAAGGACATTGATGTGATGGGGGGGGGATGGGGGATGAGGAGGTGGATAAAATAATAATGAAAAAGAGAAGAAGATCATCAAATAATTGAGCTGATCTAACTCTTTTGTTTGGACTCACCAAGGAGTATGATTCATTTTTTGTGGAGTGGGGTATGTGAAGCACAAGAAGACAACTATTCATTTCTTATATATATTCTGGAATAATAAACAATAGTTAGGTACAAACATATTCTTGATCAAAGTTAGGTACAAACATGAACAAGTCTATGTATACACAGTATATTGCTAATTTTAGTTTTAATGTTTTCCTGCTTCTTCTTTTGCCTTAATTATATCCGATCCTATTATTTCGTCTTTCTGTCTATTCAGATTGGAATTGTGGGTACGCGTGTGTGTGTTGATATAATTATAAAGGAAGTGGCGTGTGGATACGTTGAACATCTAACAAGCACTTAATCCATCAAAATCCTTAAACTGAATTCAATTGGATTTGCTAAAAAGGAAAAGAGGGTGACGGCGAATCGACAGAAGGGGGGGGGGGAACAAAAACTTTATTTGAGTCAAATTTGGTGTGTGTCCTTTAAAAAATTAGTCGTCAAATTTTGAATTCAGCATGTGGACTTTATTTCATTTGTGTTGTATAGAGTTTCATTTAAATGAAATCACGAGCTGTTACGCCGGCGAGCTCCAAGGCACATCCAATCCAATCCAACATGGAATATAAAAAACTTCAGTGTGGAGTGGGTACTAACAAAAATACAATTAAAATCAATATATACACATATAACGTACGAAAACAAAATTCTTCTGTCACTGTTCGATTTTTATTTAACTGAAATAATATATTTTAATTGCAAAAATTTATGTATTTTCAGATATATATCCATTCAAAAATTTTGTGTGACCCATGATATTTATTAACTATTAGAATATTTATTTGGATGGCGGGCTGTCCTTATAGTAGTATTATATACTACACTCAGTATTTAATATAAGAACTAATTAATTAATTTGAGTGGGTTAAATGAGTTTTTTAAGTTAGTTATTTATAATAATTAGGCGTCGTTTTTTTTAAAATATCTTTGCTAATCATTTATATTAGTTAGAATTATCATTTGATAGAATCTTTAATATCTTTAACATGTGCAACAAGCACAATGACTTTTTTGAAAAATTAAATAAATATAAAAGATAAATTAAATTAAAATTTTATATTTATAATTAAATTAAATGTCAAACTAATTTTTATATTAGGAATTTGGAAATAGTAACTGAGACTTGGGATTGCTAAAAGAAAAGGGCGTATATCTGTATTGAACTGGACCCCAAAAAAAAAAAAGGACTTGAGAGTTGAGACCAGAATAAAAGTGGACTCAACGAGTCATTGTCAATTGACACCTGGCACCACTTGGGCCAATTGGACTTTAATTGTTCCGGATGGCCCAATTCATAAACTTGAGAGATAAATAAATTCTAATGCAAAATGTGAAAATGGCTTATATGAATGAAGTCATTAAAATCAGTTAATAGTTATTTTTTTACCACAATATCTCAGAATTATCCTTAATTAAAGTAATTAAATGGTATGTGAGTCTTCCTTTTCCTCGCATATAAACTTTAAATATAAAATATTATGTTTATCAATAAAGAATTCATAAATGCCTCAAACATTTTACAATATGGCTTATATGAAGTACCGGGAAAAACTTTTAATCTTATAATCAGATATGGAGGGAGCAAAAAATGACATTATTTATTAATTATGAATAATGTGACTTGTTACTCATATTCTATATATATATCCCGTGTTAATATAAGAGCTATATAATTAATTTAAGAATATTAAGAAAATTAATTAAATTAGATATTTGTTACAAGCGTGTGCTGGTTTCTTTAGACTACCCTCCATAATGTGTATTAGAATTATTCCTCAGTGAAAATATTTTATAATATGAAGGAATATTTTGGGGAAAAATAAGAGACATAGTTAATTAGTACTCCTCCGGTCTTTAATATAGGACTCAATTGTTGAGTTGGTTTTTGTCCTAAATATAAGACTTATTTCTCATATTTATCAATTTTTTCTAAAGTACCCATATGGATACTCCCTCAACTATAATCAAGTAGAAGAGGAAGAGGAAGTATTAAGAAAGATGATTATGGGATTTTAGGAAAAACGTATCACATTTCTTATACTCCTCCGGTCCTTAATATAGGACCCATTTAACTAATTTGATTAGATTAAGGAAGTTAGGTAAGTTAGTTAATTATAAAAATTGTGACATGTTTTTCTTAAAATACCATAATCATCTTTCTTAATACCCCTCTCTATCTTCTACTTGATTATGGTTGATGGAGTATCCATAGGGATAATTTAGAGAAAATTGATAAATATGATAAATGGATCTTATATTTAAGACCAAAACCAACTCAACAATTAGGTCCTATATTAAGGACCGGAGGAGTACTTAACTAATTTACCTGACTTCCTAAATCTAATCAAATTAGTTAAATAGGTTTTATATTAAGGACCAGAGGAGTATCTTATATTTAGAATTAAATCCAACCCTCTATTGGTTTTTACATTAAAAACCAAATCTAATCCATGAAATATGATAATGGAACGCTGGACCAGAGGACGAACAAAATAGGGGATCCGGGGATAAATAATAATGCAGCTTAGATATACTGTCAGTTCTAATTATAAGACTTTATTTGTAAACTACAAATAAGATTTTATACTTTGGAGCAGAAGAAGTATTTCTTAGCACCACCCATAGCCTCTACTCTTCATTTCTCAACACTGAGCCCTTTCATGTTTTTGTTTATTTAGGTACCAATTTCTGAGTTTCGCCCTTGAAATTTCCAACCAAACTAATCCGCCGCCCCTAGTTACAGTTTTGGCACAGATAAGAATGTTTTTCGTTTTTAATCAAACTAAGTTCATCTTTAAACATCATATACAAGTTGAAATCAGAATTTATCCCGTCGTATCATTCCCCCCCCCCCCCCCCCAAACCAAAGTCTGAACTCTGAAGAGAAAGCAACGGTCTTTTGTACAACGAAACCTATCTCTTTCGGTGCCTGAATCCCTCACACAGCATGGACGCAGTTGAGGGTTTCAATAGCCAAGTTTCATCTTAATGAAAGATTATCACAGCTTCTCACACATTTCTTCATTCACTTAATAATAATTCGTGAATGATTGACAGTTGAAGGCAATCATGTTGGTAGAGTTGGAGTTAGGAGTAAGAGAAATGGAGATAATGAGCCAAAAGCTCGCTTTGATGTTTGAATTTACAGATGCATTCCATTCATATCTCAGGGAAACACTTTATGCAGAGACTTATTTTTGTTGAACCTAACTTCCATGGTGAAGGAAAATGAATCTAACCCATGAGGCTAAAATCAGATTGTGCTGTCTTAAGTTTTAACTGCTTCAAGGCAATCCAGATCCAAAATGAAGTGATCAACTTAACTTTATTCTGCAGAAAGATTATATTGGAACTTCTACTTCCCTAATTCGTTGAATCCAAAACTTAGAAGAAACAGACTAAAAGGGAGAAAAAAATTGCTTCTTTTACACAATTTGCAATTGTTACAGCTAATTCTTAGCTTCTTTCTACAGGCATCTCCCACCGTAACCTGCATTTCTGAACAGTGCTTCCTTAATCTCTTCAGAGCCAATACAAGTTCTCTGCTCAGCCACCTGACATCATGAGAAGACCATGTTGTGAGTACAAGATTCATCCAATTTCAACATTGTATTAGTATATGAAGATTAAGCATGAACCAACCTCTGAGCAAGATGCTTGCATTGTGAAATCGTTGAAGCCACTTATCACACATTGTTGAATCTCAAGACCTAACGCTTCCAAGGTATTCACTGTAGAGAGTAGTAATCCAGGCTTTGTGGCACAGCAGATATTTATCCTCGTGTCCTGGTCTCTCCGCTCAACCTCAAACTGCGAAAACATTAAGGTACAAATATGTTAATTCAGGAACTGGGTATCATTATAATCCATTAATCTTAGGGGTATATACCTTAGGGGAATTTCTCACCGTTACTTCATTTGGCTTCGCCTCCTTGGAAATGCCCATGAAGTTCAACTGATTATTTTCACCCTCCTTCTCCATTTCTTCCTGCAACTTGCTTATCTTTTCCAGAAGCTCCTTCATGTAATCTATGGTGTCTCCAAGAATAGATGTCCTGTCCATCTGGCAATGTTCATATTCCCAAGTCAGTCCAAAAGATTTGACAGTAAATCAAGCTTTAAGATTACGGGTTTAAAAGAGATAGGTTTTGGGAGTCACCTTGCTGATCTTGGGGACGATTGATCTTAGCATGGACAAGCGATCATTGAGGCGCTTTCTTCTTCTTCTTTCTGCCATGAGATTCTTGGAAGGCTGCCCTTCTAGCCTCTTCGATTTGGGCTTCTTCTCCCCACAACACACACCCATGCTGATAACTGGAGCTTCCATGACCTGTTCTTCGATTTTGCAGCAATTACTGGCATTATTGTTGGTATTTCCTTCCTCAGAACTGTGATTCTCAAAACCCAGAAAGGCAAGCTCTTCATCTTCATGAGCTTGAAGTGGTGGTGCAGAGTCAACAGTGTTCCCTGTGAAGCCATCAAGAAATGGGTAGGAATTATATTCAAGTCTGGGGTCTATAAATGGAGCTGGTAGTGCAGAAAATGGAGGATTGAAGGTAGATAAAGCTGAAAGGTTGTCATCGAAAGAGTCAAAACTCCAAGAGGTAGAAGAGAAGAGTTCATTCAAGCCAGAGGACATAGTATTCCATGGGTCTCCTCTTCTTGAAGCGAGTAACTCTTCCAGAAAACCAACTTGTGTAAGCTCCATTTCTCTCTGGGTTCCCCTCGCAGGTCACCCATCAAACAGGGGAGGCTTTAATAGAAGGGGGATATCACCCTTCTTTTTTTTATTAAGGAAAAGGAAAACTAAATTCAAATATTTTATTTTTTTTTAGTTTTATTTACTTTATCATTACATACTTTTGTGACTGTCAAATAAAGTATTTTATAAATCTGGATAACGCATTTTTAACAAAAAAATGGGTATTTATGGAATGTAATATCTCGATGATCAGGAGTCATCTGACACTTCATTAGGTTTCCCAAATTTTATTTTATAATAGATTATTTAATGCGCTTTTATTCTTTATAGATGTCTAGTTAAAATGGAATGCTAGCTTCAGCGCAGCCATGTGAGAACTAAAAAGTATTGTTTATACGCCTATGAGAGTTTATCCATTTAGTAAAAAGTTAATTCATATTGATGCTTCCGATCTCGTTAAAAATTAGTTTTAAATTCAAAATAATTTAAAGATATTGTGAGATATACAACCCAAAAAAAAAATCGACTTATAATTTATAAGGTCGTGAGTTCATATTTTATTACCAACATAAAAACTTAAAAAATGCATGTCTTAATCAGATCTGATACCTAACTCATTTAAATTTTTTTAATAAAAATATTGTTTAAAGTGAAGAACAATATAATTTTTCCATGATTTATAGTATACATATTTTTTTTTCGTGTTTCATGCAAAATATATCAACTAGATCTAGTTAATTATATGGGTGAACAGTAATAAATAACTTTTTGAATATTTAAATCACATGGAAACGGTGAATCATGGAATCTGAATTTGACAACAAAATAAGTGCTTGTTTGGATTAGCGATGAACAACTATGATTTTAGATAATCATGAATTTTATAAGTGACACTGACTATAAGTGACACTGATTAATCGTGATTTCTGTTTGGATTTTTTTTATAAGTGATTTTAAAAATTGTGATTATATTTGGTTTTCATTTATTAAAATCACTTATGGGTGTATAATTACTAAAAAGGACATGAAGTTAATAAAGTTGTTTACATTTTCATAATTATTATATTTAATAATAAATTATAATTTAATAAATGACAAGAATATTTAAATATTATTTTTATTTTAAAATCATTATTATTTAAAATCACTTACAAAATTTATGTGCAGTACAAATATTAAATAAAAGACCCCATATAAATAAGAGATGAATGAAAATATTTAAAAAAATTTGATTAGCAATTTTAGTAACATAAATAAGGAAATTGAATGTTCAATCAAAATTATAACTAAGAAATTTAACGATGCTCCTCGAATGAGAATATTACCTGAATATTTGATTCCGTTGTTTCAATCATATGTCATCCGTTATCTAATTTTTTTAAAAATGTCTTTTAGATAAAATTAAAAGAAAAACAGTTTCATATTGTATGTTTTTTTTAAAATTAAAATAATTACCATTAGAATGAGAGGTAGATTGGAGAAAATTTAGTTACTGAAAATTCATCAGGATTTTTCAAACGTATAAGCTACTTCTTTGTTGCTTATCCTAAAAGTGCGACGGAAGGTTAAAATCACAATTCATCAGGATTTTATAAAAATTATCCAAACACTCTAAACATACTTCATAAGTACTTATTTAAATTTAAACGGGTTTATTTGAGATCGTACCACTTAACGAAACAGGCTCTAGGTTTCATTGACATACTATTATGATTCTAAGTCTGATTGATCGATTTACTATAGTTATAAATACAAAATTCAAATCTTCTTCCGTTTTCTTACTTAATATATTTTATAAATTACTCTCATCAATTGCATAATTTTTGTTACTTTCATTAGCAAACAAATTTAATTCAAAATAATTAATTGATTAAATAGGTTTTAATTTTACGATGAAGAGTGCACATAAAAAATTGATTTTACTATTGACTATTGAATAAATGAAGGGGGTAACATTAACAAAAAGTGGGTGGGGGAAGGAAAAAGGTTTAAAATAATAGTAATAGAAGAAGACAATGATAGGGTGCATTATTCTATAGAGATGATGAAAAAGGCATAAATGATGAGAGGATATATAAATATACAGTAAAAAGTTGGAGAGGAATAGGGCCTCGAGATAGACCTGCCATTCAAAATGGCATCTGCTTTTTGTTGCCTTGGTCTTCTGTCTTATCTCCTCTCACTCCTAGCCTCCCTCTTCATCATTAATCCCCTTTTCACCTCAAGTCTAAAATAATCACGCCCAAGTGCTCGATCGTAAACATGAAACGGAAAGTATGATTTGATTTGGCAAAATTTGTATATATTACGTGCTCATACAAACACATAAATTGTTATGAGCTTTATATTCGATACGGATATATTAATTACCTTAAAAATGACTTATACTTCATCCCGTTCTTATTATAAATTTTAAATAACCAATTTACAAATAGCAAATAATTAGTTAAAATTAGTTGAAGATAATAAACAGATTAGAAATATATTTTTGTTTTAAATATCCAAAGGATAAAAACGAATGTAGGGGGGAATAAGATAAGAGAGGAACAATTAAAGACAATAATAGAAAAATACATTAAATGTTAAAACAAACTCAAATTAAAGCTTATAAAATGGATCATATTTTTTTTTGTAAATTTGAAAGTTATAAATAGGACTGGAGGGAATATTTAGAAACAAACATTTCTCTTATAAGTGAATCATATGTAGAAACGGAGTGGTACTTTTATGGTTCTATTTAGGATATGTTTGGATTGGCGTTGGACAAAACTGACTTATAATCTAACTGACTTTTGTAACTAAAGTTAGAGTAAAAGTCAGTTAGTGTAATATGATTTATGTTTGGATAAGTGTTTATAAAAAGTCAGTTGAAAAAGTTAAAAGTTGTTTGGATGATTAATAGAAAAGTTAGTTTGGTTGTAAATGACTGAAAATGGCATAGACTTTATAGAATAATAGTATTTGAAATTATATGTTTTTAATGTAATAATAATTTAAAAAATACATAAAATTATTATGGTAAAATATAAATAGTTTATTTGTGAGATTATAAAATAAAAATATTTGTTACGGAGAAAAATTTGAAAACACATTGTAGATAATTAATTAAATATACATAATGGATAAACAAGAATATAAATTAAAATTTATTTGGTCTCTAATTAAAGTAAATGAAATCACATGGCTAATTAGATTGTAAGCTTTGCACAATTTTCCCATAAGTCAGTTAGAAAAGTTGATTCAAATTGCGTTGGATAAGTCAGTTAGAAAAGTTACTTTTTCCCATAAGTTAGTTAGAAAAGAAATCCCATCCAAACAATCTTCTAAGCCACAATAAGCCACTAACATCAGTTTCACGCTTTCCTATATGCTTTTGGCTTCTCCAACTGCAATCCAAACATAGCCTTATACGGCAGAGAGAGAAGACAATTTTAGTTCTATTTATAGGAAACTTAGAGAAATTTTTTATACGGATGTACAATCTTACCCTTCATTTATTATTGTGTTGATTTTGTTTACATGAAGTATAATGTATATTCCTTCCGGTTTAAAATATAAGCTAAACTTTGTCCATTACGTTTATCAAGAAACTAATTAAAATCAATTCAAAACAATAAATGTGTAAGGCATATATTTGTTTTTCCTAATATATCCTTATTAATGAAGAGAATAAGTAAAAGATGCAAAAATGAATTAAAGAGAAAAAGAATATATAGGGGCAAAATCGGAAAAACTCATTAAATGCTTGGACAAAAATAAATGTTATCTTATAAAAAAAACTCTTTAAGAAAATTTAGCTTATATTTTAAACTGGAGGAAGGAAGTATTAAATAAGAATAAAAAGAAAGTCTAATATTAATAAAATTAAAGGTTTTTTTAATTTATACGAAACACGTGAAAATTATTTATAATAAAATGATAAAATATATCTCATGGAATGACAAGGGTCACAGCCTTCGAAGCCTTGACCCTACGTGAGGTA